TCCTGAACCGCTTCACAGAGTACCTACCAGCAGTGTGAGGAACATACGTGGCATGCTTGGATGCCACCACGCCGATGTAATCAGCAAGGGAAATGTCATTTACCTAATAACACAAAAAAAAAAAACATCAATACAATTTGCCATAAGAACACATTATAAAACTAAAAAAAAAATGAGATTTTTTACTCAAAAATAAGAGATTTCGTCTATTGTTTAGGGTTACCATTTTACATAGTCCAAATCTAATGAACCCGTGGAACATAACATTATATTTGAAAACAAGTGAAAACGAGGGGAAATTGTGACTAAAATATGTACCTGGACATCGTCGAAGCTCCAACGGTTAAAAAGCTTGACGTCGATCTGGTAGGGATCTGGAGCAAGCCCAGCATCGTGCACTTCCTCAGCCATGGCTGCATAAGCAATTGAACGGAATGAATAAGTGAAATGCAGAACAAAGAAGAGTTTTGAAACCCTTATATGAATCGAGTGTGGGACGGTGCAGCGGAAGAAAAAAAAAACACTTTGAGCGGAGAATTGAAATGAGAGTGAAGAGGGTACCTGAAATTGGTGGAGGAGAAGAGGAGGGTAGGGTAGCGGCTGCTTTCTCTTGAATATCGCAAAGAAGAAGCACAAACGACTAAAAACCCTAGTTGCTCAAATTTATACCCAAGGAATGGTGGCATAAAAATGCTAAAAGAGCATTAAGCTACTTTAAAATTTCAACCTGATTCTGTGTTTAGTTTTTTTATTAATTTATAAATTATAAATTTATCAACTAAATGTTTTATTTTTAAAGGTATTAATTAGCTACATAATAAATTTTTTTAAAAAAATATAATAATAAAAAATGGAAATATATTTAAAATAATTTTATAAAAAATATTTTATATTTCAGTCTTTGAAACTCACTAATTATTAGCATTTTTAAATCATCACAAATTAACTGTATGAATTTAATTACAAATATTTTTTTATACCATAATTAAAAATATTTTACAAAATCAAATATTCAATTAAAAAAATAGTTTAGATAGATATTAATATATTGATAAAGCCGGCCGGCCGATAGGCGAAAGAGAATCAACTAGTTTAGTTCTGATCTGAGTAGGCTTATATTATAATAGGGAATACTCTAACCCTGGGAACCGGGGCCTGGCCAAAGTCCAGGGTGGCTCAAAGTTCGATCAAGGAGATCCCTGTCCTGTGCCCTATTCACTAAGATCTTCGAATTAGCCCTTACCGAAAAGCACGGCTTACCTCACTTTCAAGCATCCACTGGATCAGAGATAGAGATCCTTCTTCCTTTAGCGGCTGAGAACAAAGAGTAATCCCAATCCCTGAACGTAGTCCAACCTTCGGTCCTTCTGAAGCCGAGAAGGAGACTCCCAAGCATCCGAGATGCGAAAAGAAAAAGGGACCTTTCTCTAAGCCATTTGAAGTAGACAGGGATAAGGACAAGAGGCTCGCTACCGAGCTCGATGCTTTGAATAGGACCCACGGGGCGGTAATATAAGATGCAGCAAAGAAAGAGGGCAGTGAAGGCTATTCCTGTCAAAGACCGTCTTTTTCCAAACACCGTATTCTTGCAAAAACCGGAGAATCCAATCCGCATCAATCTGGTCAGAATAGCCCTTCCTCTGCCGTACCTCTGATCAGTTCTTCATAAAGCATTCCTTAAATCAAAGGGTGAGAACAGTAGCCTCAGTACCAATGAGCGGGTTGAGATCAGGAAAGAAAGAAGACCGACCGGATATTCAGCAAAGCAGACTTCCGGGAGAGAATTCGATTTCATCGTTACACAATCTTCTCCTTACTTACCTATGATGATATTCGTAGATCGCATAAGACGAAGATAGTAATCACGTAGATAACAGTTTCAGAGTGAATCTGTCCTTACTAGACTTCAGGTTTAGATCGAGTTAGGGGGGAATACCGGGTATAACCCAAAATTCCTGTAATAAATGCTATTCATCAAGGCGACCGGAGGGAGGACAACACAACCTGAATGAAAGCCTTTCAAAACAAAAAAAAATAGGGTTAGCTAGATAAGAGGAAGAGAATGACATATGTGCTTACTTTACTTGCAGTTCCCCTCCTTGACTATGTCCCGGCTGATTGGTGGGAAAAATAGAAAAGGATAAAAACCTTGCCTCATATGCGATTCCGCCTAACACATTGAACTCTGGGGGAAGAGGACTTTTTGTTTCTTAACTCATGTTTTCCAGTTCGCCCCTAAGGGTTTGAAGCCGAACTTGCTTCACGCGTTCATCTCCCTTTTTTGCTTTCTCAAGTATATCCCATGCCTCTTTTGAAGATTTAGCATTAGCTATCTTCTCAAAACCCGACTCGTCAACAGCTCGGTACAGCAAATACAGTGCTGCCTTGTCCTTTGCTCGAACAACCTTCAATGCATTCAGTTGGGCATTTGTATACCCCTCGGTAGTCACCGGTTCCTCGTGCCCATTCTCAACCACGTCCCAGTTATCTTGGGAGCCGAGAAGGGCCTTCATCTGCACCTTCCAGTTGTCGTAGTTGACATCTTTAGTCAACTTGGGTAGTGGAATGCCATTAGTTAAACTTGCCATCTCTCTTGAGTGTATACACTCCACTCACACACCTCACAAGACTTTTTGACACTCTTCTCTCGGGCTGGGTACACCACAACACTTTTGCAGGTCGGCTCACACACTCACCTCACGCACACAGCTCTGATGCCAATTTGTTAAGAATAAAAAGGCATAAATTTGGGAGCAAATAAACTCTCTATATTCTCATTCATGTTCTATATATATATATAATAATGATAAATAAAATCAAATTAAAAGTTAAAATAATTAGTAAAACACAAGATATAGATTTATATTTTATATATATGAGTTAATTTAAAATATTTAAAAACAATATTGAAAAAATTGTAAAGAATTAAGTTACATGTTTGGTGTATCTAATAAGATTTATAAATAAAATAAATATAAATTATTCATTAAAATATATACAAATTAATATTTTGTTATATTATTTTTAAATTTTTATTTTTAAATGTCATATTACTAAATATTATGTTGCTTAACTTGTAAAAGATCATTAAATGACATTAAAATTTAATGATTAATAAATGTGAGTGAGATTAAAAATTTATTTTAAAAAAATAAGAGAACTAAATATTTTTATTTAAAATATAAGTTAAAAATTACATATTAATACAAATAGGAAGACCGAATGTGCAAGTTAGTCTAAAAAAATCATTAAAAATGACACATTTACATTAACTATTTTATATCGAGCTAATCACCTATACACTGTCAGTGTAAAGTTTTTTTACACTGGCAACCAATTATATATCTTAATTGTATCATGTCACTGTTAAAAGTAAATGTGTTTACAGTGACATGGCACAATTAAGAGACATAATTGGTTGTTAGTATAAAAAAAACTTTACACCGACAGTGTATAGGTGATTAACTCTTTTATATATAACTAATAACATGACCTATGAGAACAATTTATATTAATTTCAATCAATATCATTATTACATGACTAGTATTTTTTTTTTATAATTTTGCATCGATATCTTAATGTTTCGTCTTAAAGTAGGGTAAGTAAAGTCTAATTAATAGATATTTCCACCAATAATCAAATTTGAAAATTGTTCAAATGATTTGACTTTGAGTTCAGCCTATTAACTATGTCTAACTTTTTAGTTACAAGACTAGTATTTTTACTTCATGTGTGACTATGTTAAATATTTATTATACATAATTAAAAATCACAATTAATTATATATAAAATAAATAAATTTTTTTAAATATATAAATATATTTAAATTTGTATAATTAATATTTTAAATATTTAAATTATATTTTAGATTTAATATAAATAATTTATATTTTAATACAAGATTGTGTTCTATTATTGTTAACTTATTTAAAATATTAAAACTTAATTTATGAAAGTATTATAAATAAAAAATGAAATATAAAAAGAGTTAAAAAAAAAATTCTAAAAAATTTCAATCTCTTATTGAAGAAAAATGTTTAAAAAAGTTCTCATTAAAGAAAAACTTAAAAAAAAAACTATTACATAAAATAGTTTGTTTATATTTAATATATAAGGATGAATGGGTTAAATTACACTTTTAATCTTCTTATAATTTTCAAACCATAATTTTAGTCCTTAATTTTCAATATTGCTCAATTATAGTTATCTCAATCAATTTAATCATAATTAGTCTGTCATACATCATGTTAACTTTAATGGTAACATAGGGACTCGCATTAATTAATAAGGCAACAATCTAGTGATAATACACATTAGTGACATAACACATATTTAACAAAAAAAAACTATAAGATTTATTTAAAAAATGGTAAAAGGTGACTTTTATGACTTATTATTAATTTTAATATTTCTACTATATTAATTTACTTGTAAGTTAAATTATTTTTTTATTCTTCTATAATTTAAAATGAGTAATACTTTTTTAATATTTTTTTTAATTAGACAATTTTAGTTCCTTTCTTAATTAAATTGTTATTTAACTATAATGTGTCACTTTGGTAATAATGTAGTGACTCAAATAAATTGATGAAAAATTTTACTTTAGTTTTTAAAGTATTTTCATTAATCAAATTGATATTTTTGTCAATTTTTTAAAAACTAATGCTGTAAATTTGTACTAGTGTGACATCTTACACTTTGTCATATGTCACTAAGTTCACTAAATTAGTGTAATAAATTGATAAAATGACTAAGTTAATCTAACATATATGTTTTAAGAGACAAGTAAACTTTTTTTTTTTAGATTGAAGGGACCAAATCAAAATAAAAAATAAAAAATAAAAATGAATACTCTATTTTATACTTATAAAAAAAATTAAGCATTTGAGTCTTAGAATTATGTCCGATATAAATTTTTATGATGAATTTAAGTTATACTTTGAGTCTTCTCAACCTATTATTCATTGCTTTAAAATGTACTGTATGATTTTTTAAATTAATGACTATTAATAATAATTTTTTTAATAAATAATACTTTATATAATATTAAATTATATTTATATGGATATTACTTATTTTAAAAAAAATATTATAAAATATACCTTAATTCAAATTTTATATCTATTTTATTTTATTATTTAATCATACATATATTAATATTGATATATTAAGTTAACTTAATTTTATCTCATATATCTTGAGTCTTAATTGAGTCAAATTTAAATTTTAATGAATAGCTTGATCAATTTTTTCATTAAAAGAAGATAATAATAAACTCGTTTCAATCCCCTTCTCTTATGCAACAAATTGATTACGTAATATAATATATAATTGCATGGTTTGTGTGTTTTTTTTTATACTTTTAATGCATTTAAATTAAACTCTTAAAATAATATTAAAATCACAATACAACATGATATATTTTATAGGAACCAAATAGTAAAATCTTTGTACTGAAATTAGGAGATGCGTGTCCCTCCGCTAGAACACACAAAGATCCCTCCAATCGCATATATACTCATACATGGAACAAAGATAATGAGAAAGAGCATATTAACAATCAGATGCGCCTGTAGCTCAGTGGATAGAGCGTCTGTTTCCTAAGCAGAAAGTCGTAGGTTCGACCCCTACCTGGCGCGCATTTATCATTGCTGTTTAATCACATTTTTAAATCTTAAATTCCAAGTTTTA